GGGAGTTGCTTCTGGACCCAAAAGCAGCTTTCTATCTCCCTTTAGGATAACCTTATTTGGTAAGGCTTCAGGAACTGAGATTTTATTCTCAAGTCCCACACATCTTTTATCACAGCTCATTGCTGTCAAGAAATAGTGTTATGTTAAACCACATTTTTTGGTCCCTAAAGTGTGATTTCTTCAACTATGCCTTTCTGGAATAATAACACTTCACCCTAACTCAGGATGATAAAATTAGATTTTACATTTTGATTTAGGTTTGATGAATCATTCTTTTTTGAAAAATATAATATTTAATTTTTATAACAAAACAAGTTGACAGGATGATTATTTGAACTTTCAAGAGACAATTTCAGAGGGACTAAAGATTCAGAAATCTGTCCCCAGATTTTCTGAATTCAAATTGTTCTCAGTTGCTTCACTGTAATGAAAACTTCAGCCAGGCTTGATGGCTCAAACCTGTAATCCTAACACTTAGGGAAGCCCAGGCCGGTGGGTTGCTTGAGCTCAGGAGTTTTGGGAGACCAGCCTGAGCCAGAGCAAGACCCTGTCTCTAAAAAATAGCCGTACCCTGTGGCAGGTGCCTGTAGTCCCAGCTACTCAGTGGGCTGAGACAAGTGAATTGTTTGAGCCCAGGAGATTGAGGTTGCTGTGAACTATGATGCCATGGCACTCTACCCAGGACAAGTGAGACTGTCTCAGAAAGATTAGAAAGATAAAAGTTGGATTCAGTTCTTAAACTTTTTTTTTTTTTTTTTTTTGTAGAGACAGAGTCTCACTTTATCGCCCTTGGTAGAATGCCGTGGCATCACACAGCTCACAGCAACCTCCAACTCTTGGATTTAGGTGATTCTCTTGCCTCAACCTCCCCAGTAGCTAAGACTACAGGTGCCTGCCAAACACCCAGCTATTTTTTTGGTGCAGTTTGGCCAGGGCCAGGTTTGAACCCACCACTCTCGGTATATGGGGCCAGCGCCCTACCCACTGAGCCACAGATGCCACCCATTGGTGGGTTTTTAGTAAGAGGTAACAGTCCTGGGCTCAGTGGCAGTGGGTATAGAATACATTAAAGGATTTGGGTATAGTGACTCATACCTGTAATCCTAGCACTCTGGAAGGCTAAGGCAGGTGGATCGTGGGACCTCAGGAGTTCAAGAGCAACCTGAGCAAGAGTGAGACTCTTGTCTGAAAAATTAGCCAGGCATTGTGGCAGGTGCCTGTAGTTCCGGCTACTCAGGAGGTTGAGACAAGTGGATCGCTGTACCCAAGAGTTTGAGGTTGCTGTGAGCTATGACGCCATGGCATTCTACCCAAGGCTACACAGTCTTAAAAATAGTGATAAAGGGCGGTGCCTGTGGCTCGGTGAGTAGGGCGCCGGCCCCATATATCAAGGGTGGCGGGTTCAAACCTGGCCCCAGCCAAACTGCAACAAAAAAATAGCTGGGAGTTGTGGTGGGCGCCTGTAATCCCAGCTACTTGGGAGGCTGAGGCAAGAGAATCGCCTAAACCCAGGAGTTGGAGGTTGCTGTAAGCTGTGACGCCACTGCACTCTAGCAGGGGCAATAAAGTGAGACTCTGTCTCAAAAAAAAAAATAGTAATAAAAATAAAATTAAAAAAAGAAAGCATATGGTTCAGTGCCTGTAGCTCAGAGGTTAGGGCACCAGCCACATGCACGGGGGCTGGTGGGTTCAAACCCAGGCCCAAGCCTGCTAAACAAACAAAAATAGCCATGTGTTGTGGCAGGTGCCTATAGTCCCAGCTACTAGAGAGGCTGAGGCAAGAGAATCACTTGAGCCAAAGAGTTTGAGGTTTTGAGGTTGTGAGGTTGTTATAAGCTGTGACACCACAGCACTCTATCAGGGGCAACAGTGACACTCTGTCTCAAAAAAAAAAAAAAAAAGGCATATAGAGAATGATTCTTCTCCTGATACCAAATCTGCTGCTGCCTTGATCTGGGACTTACCAGCCTCAATAACTGTGAGCAATAAATTTCTAGTGTATCACGTCTGTAATCCCAACACTCTGGGATGCTAGCTGGGCAGATCACCTAAGCTCACGAGTTCAAGACCAGCCTGAGCTAGAGCAAGACCCCATCTCTAAATAATAGCTGGGCATTGTGGTGGGCGCCTGTAGTCCCAGCTGCTTGGGAAGCTGAGGCAAGAGAATCATTTAAGCCCAAGAGTCTGGCTCGACACCTGTGGCTCAAGCGGCTAAGGCGTCAGCCACATACACCTAAGGTGGCGGGTTCGAATCCAGC